GAATCCGGTTGGTACCGCGCACGGCTTACCATGGCTTATTAAATCCTTCGCAAGCATGCAACATTCACAACATTCCTGGAATGGATATAAATCCAGTTAATTTACCCATACTACTCAATTAGAAGCTCAGAAATCCTCCTGGTACCAATGAAAGAATTTTGCAGGGAAAAAGCGAGGAAGACGAGGCACAGTGGCTGTGAGGAAGGTATATTGTGTTGTAGAAATTTTAGAGACATAAACAACAGATGTCCCTGACTAGGAGATTAGAAGAGGATGGAGGGTCTGAAATTTTAATGTACAAAACCTTCTTGATGTACCGCAATGCTTAATTTTCTAATGAAAATTTACCGAAAAAAGATTTCACGAAAAATTTGGTAAAAACAAATTAGCATTTCTCAAGTCTTCAATCTCTCGGAGACAAACTTTTCTATAGATGCACAAAAATTCGGGAAAATTTGCTTTGATTTTCTGGTCAACGCTTATCATTTTGTCCTTTAAGGATTAACCGTCTTGCTTTTTTATTCGTTATTTTTGTCAACAGATAAAACAATTTCTGGCACGTCAAACGCTGGCTGAGAAGCATGGAAGTCCTGAGTACAGCACTTTGGCTGCAGAAAAACTGATAAGAACCAGAAAAAAATGATTTTGAATAATAATATATCGATGAGTGATATGAGCAGGCTTAAAAAGCCCAAACAGCTCACCTTTCTAATACCTCCGCCAATTTGATTGATACTGAGCGGGCAGTAATTGTCATCCAATGCCATATTACTGCCATAATCGCAAGTTCGATCCATTAAAGCTCTCAGGCAACAAATGGATGCGGAACGAGCACATGCTGTCGTCGGCCTGGGAAATGATAATTTACCGCAAGGAAACTGAGAATTACTAATAAAAAATACGACTTCTGTGCTGTCTTTCTTTGGTGGATTTAGGGATTTTGTCGGGTACAGTAACTTTGCCAGCACAATTTGTGTGAGTATTTCACGTTAGTGATGTTACTGTGATGTATTCACCCGATGGGCGCAGCTATGCCAGGCCCTTCGATTCTGAGACACGTTATCGCCAATTAATACCTATCGTCTGTTCGACGTATGTGTACCACTCTTTTGGAAATCAGCCAATTCGTTGTTTGCCTCCATGCGAGTACCACTTACTGATATCGGTTTTAAATGAGAAGCCTGTTCTACCGCGAGGAAACAAAGAATTGAGGGACTAGTGTGGTAAGAACACTTAGAATTCCTACGCTCAATATGCGGGTAGTCTCAAGATTTTTCTTGGGGAACAAAAA